CTACTGGTTAATAAAGAACTTCAAACAACTCTTTAAGACTACAGTATATTTCAGACAGTCCATTTAAATGATCCATTGATAAGGTTGCAATTGTAGACTTAATCCTTAGTTTGATGTGACGGCTCATATTTTGTACCACTATATTTGTAATTGTAAAGTAGTAAAATACAAGTGCTGTCAAAAACTACATGTTTTGTCTATTTTGATGATTTAAAAAAAATTTTTTCAGAGGACTGGAAATGTGCGATCCACGTTCTTCAAAGACTGCCTGTACGAAGTGTTCGACGACTTGGAGTGCAAGATGGAGCACGCAGGAAAACACCTCTTGCGCTCAGTCCTGCAGCTGATGGAGAGCGGGGCTCTGGTCCTCACCACCAACTTTGATAACCTGCTGGAGATCTACGCAGCCCACCAGGACACCAAACTGGAGTCTTTAGACCTGACAGATGAAAAGAAGGTAAACACTGCACCGTGGCACTAATTGATCTTTCCTGCAACAATACGTGCAGTCAGCTTCTTTTTCTATCAGACAAGCTCAACGGTCACTTCTGCATGTGTTGAAGTGAACACGTGTATGTTGTGGTAGGCTCAGAACAGCTTTTTATCAACACTGTCCAATATTAAATTTAGACTGGATTTTACATTCTGTGCGATATCTGTACTCAGCTCTATTATTAAAACAAACTTATACACTTCAAACCCTCCTGAAAGACTTTTTTCCATGAACACGGCTCATAGAATGCAAACAAGTGAAGTTTCTTGTTGGCTGATTTCAATAAAACCTCAGCTGTGCAGTCTTGTCATTTGAAGTTCCCTTAATTTACTGTTTCCATGTCAGTTTCCCTGTTTAATCAAAGACAGATTAGATCTGAGTGACCTCATTGCCTCTCAGTCCTGGTATTTATGCCTCGGCTCCATCAGAGCTAATATCCTCTCACCACTATTTAGTGATTTTACTCTCCACCCAGTCTGAACAGGATTTTGTGTGTGTGTGTGTGTATCTAGGTGCTGGAGTGGGCTCAGGAGAAACGGAGGTTAAGTGTTCTGCACATCCACGGTGTTTACACCAACCCCAGTGGTATTGTGCTGCACCCTGCTGGCTACCAGAATGTCCTGAGGAACACCGAGGTCATGGTGAGCACTGTGTGAAACTTGGATTGATCCATATGTTTCCTTTTTCTTTATTTCTGGTTATTTACAGTCTAACTACTTTTGCAGACTTTGTGCCGTGTTGGCCGTTCATATATCAAAACAATCAGCTCATTCAAATATTTATCTATATTCAGGGTTGCACATAAAATCTTTGGTCTGGTTCTCAGGGGAGAACCTAGGGTTGTTGCTTGGTGCTCACTCATATTTTCCTTCACTCATTTAACACATTTATCTAGAGGGGCGTCAGGGTATCTAACGTCCCCCTGTTCTGTTTTAT